ACACAAACGAAACAATTAAACTAAAGAATACCCTCAGAGTGCGCGGAATACAAACAATCAAACTAAAGACAATCCTCAGTGTGCGTGAGATATATACGAAACGACCCAACTAAAGACAATCCTCAATGAGCGTGAGATATAAACGAAACAACCCAATTAAAGACAATCCTCAGTGTGCGCAGGATACTAACGAAACCATCAACTTACAGACAGTCCTCAATGTGCGCGAGATATTAACCAAACAATCAAACTTAAGACAATCCTCAGTGTGCGCGAAATATTAACGAAAAAATCCAACTAAAGACAATCGTCAGTTTGCGCGAGATATTAACGAAACAATCAAACTAGAGACAATCCTCATGATCATTATGTGTGAGATACTAACGCAACAATCAAACTAAAAAGGATCCTCAGTTTGCGCGAGATACTAACGAAATGATCAAACTAAAGAGAATGCTCAGTGTGCGCGAGATATTAGCAAAGCAATGAAACTTAAGACAATCCTCAGTGTGCGCGAGATATTAACGAAACCATTAAACTAAAGAAAATCCTCAGTGCGCGCAACATATTAACCAAACAATATAACTAAAGAAAAACCTCAGTGTGTGCGAGATATTAACCAAACAATCAAACAAGAGACAATCGTCAGTGTGCGCGAGATATTAACGAAACCATCAAACTAAAGACGATCCTCAGTGTGCACGAGATATTAACGAAACTATCAAACTAAACACAATCCTCAGCGTGCGCGAGATATTAACAAAAAAATCAAACTAGAGACAATTCTCAGTGTGCGCGAGATATTAACGAAACAGTCAAACTAAAGACAATCCTCAGTGTACGCGAGATATTAACCATACAATCAAACTAAAGACAGTCCTCATTGTGCGCGAGATATTAACCAAACAATCAAACTAAAGACAACCCTCAGAATGCGCGAGATATTAACCAAAAAATCAAACCAAAGACAATCCTCAGTTAGCGCGAGATATAAACAAAACCATTAAACTACAGACAGTCCTCAATGTGCGCGAGATATTAACCAAACAATCAAACCAAAGACAATCCTCACCGGGATATTAACGAAACAATCAAACTTAAGACAATCCTCAGGGTGCGCGAGATACTAACAAAACAATGAAATTAAAGACAATCCTCAGTGTGCGTGAGATATCAACGAAACAACCAAACTAAAGACAGTCCTCAGTGTGCGCGAGATATTAACTAAAACCATAAAACTACAGACAGTCCTCAGAATGCGCGAGATATTAACCAAACAATCAAACTTAAAAAAATCCTCAGTGTGCGCGAGATATTAACGATACCATCAAACTACAGACAGTCCTCAGTGTGTGCGAGATACAAATGAAACAATCCAACTAAAGGCAATCCTCATTGTGCGCGAGATGTTAACGAAACAATCGTTAACAATCGCGAAGATCGCTTCATATTCATGTCTTTATCCGCAGTTCAAGTATATGACTTTCATATATTCACAGCCAATCAAACTAAAGAAAATCCTCAGTGTGCACGAGATATTAACCAAACAATCAAACTACAGACTGTCCTCAGTGTGTGCGAGATACAAACGAAACAATCCAACTAAAGATAATCCTCATTGTGCGCGAGAGATTAACGAAACAATCAAACTAAAGACAATCCTCAGTGTGCGCGTGATATCAACGAAACAATCAAGATAGAGATAATCCTCAGTGTGCGCGAGATATTAACGAAACAATCCAACTAAAGACAATCCTCAGTGCACGCGAGATATTAACGAAACCATCAAACTAAAGACAATCCGCAGTGTGCGCGAGACACAAACGAAACAATTAAACTAAAGAATACCCTCAGAGT